GCGGGATCCGCTTGTTGGGTGGCCCGGAGGGGCCGGCGCCGCGGCCTCCAGTCCAGGGCTTTAGAGCAGTAGCGTGTGGTTCCTGGAGTGTTTGTACATAATAAGCACAAAAAGCGTTCAGGTAATAGTTCTCTTCAGGTTATGGTTCTCTGCCGAAAGGAGTTCGGTGCAGGCAGGCTCGGGTTGACTGCAGGGAGGTTTTGGGGTTCGTTTTGGTTTTTTCTCCCTGTCACATCCTAACCCTTGCTTACAGAAATGTCCACGCTGGATCTCAGGCTGACGAGGAGATCGCTGGTCATCAGTCCACAGAGTTGTACTCTCCCTGAGACCTCTGGTTCTGTGCATACAGAAGGTTTTTGCTGGGGCTGGGTGGAATTCATCATTTTCTTCATTTCTGCATGCTTGTGACAGGAGAGAACCTTAGAGAAAAGGGGTCAGTTCCATGAGGCACTGATTCTGTCACCCTTGATTGTTAATTGATTTCTAAATAGGGGAACATACCTTAGGGTCATGTCCTTTTTATCACATCTTTCTAACATAGCGTTATTTAAAACGATGATGACTATTACCGATAGCTCAGGTCAGCGCGGTATCATTCGGGTCAGCGAGGCTGTGACTGTGCAGGCAGATGCTTTTCACGTTAAACATTATGCTATTTGTGTGCAGGCGGTGAGTGGGATTCCTGTAACTGCCAAGTACAGACTGCATGTAGCATTGATCCATTTGGTGGATTGGTCACAAATATCAGGAACTCGTTGATGCTTTGTCCAAAGGTAATAGACAACTTTGCAGTGCAGAGGGTGTTCGCTGCAGACGCGGAACTGTAGCAAAATGGAGAAATCCAGGAGCAGGTAAGTAGTAATAAGATGCTACCTTGTTAAAGACCTCAGCTCTAGGGTTTTATATTATTAGGATGACATCTTATGCATCCCATGAGACAAGAAAGTTGGGTTATTCTCATATGAGGGTTTATGGGTTCCTATGGAACATTATTAACCGGAAAGTATTCTTAAAGAACAACAAACCCATAATGAAACACAACTTTATGTAGGTTTGCATTGCCACAACATTCACATGTAAAATGATGTGCTTGAGGTATTAGACTGGAGCGTAAGATACTTGGATGTAGTTGTTGGCCCAACCACAGATTTATTCTGTGGTGTTAGTTCTCTTACTCTGCCCATCCTTTTATTATCTAACTACAGGGGAGAAGTGATCCTTCTTTGACTCTTATTTTTCATGGTTACTTGACATAAATTCTCATGGACGTGGGCTGTCACCACTACATATGTGTAGCACATACAGTGTTTCAAATTTAGGAATAACCTGTTAAAAATTGCATATATTGGGAAATAATTAAGGATTCACATGGCTTAGACTTTAATACCAAACTTTCACATGTTCTACCCAAAATTGATATTTGACTACTTGGTGTTACGCTGTCATTGCATATGGTCAGACCAGCTTTACCTCTGGAGCAGATTTGAAGGTTTTAGGGGGAATTTGGCCTAATAGCCGTGTACAAGAACTTGTGCTGAAAGCTATTCTGCGTAAATGTACAAGTGCCTGAAAACTCTTTTCCTCCGAAGTGCATACAGCTGCCTTAACTGTGTGTGAACAGCATTCTTTTGTCTGCTGGCCGGGGCCCGCCTCTTTCTGAAAACATTCAAATAATATTTTATAGGAAAACAAGAATTTGTCTCACACACACAATATAGGGCTCGTTTCTTCCATTAGCTTTATTTTCGCTCCTTGCAGCTTGGTAGAACAAGCCAAAAGTAACTATTTCCTCCTAAGAGATTTTTTTGTGTGTGTGTGAGTTTGGGTTCTGGCTTCGTTACTCCCCCCGCAGTGATTCGTTGTTAATACCGTGCGCAGTTATTCGGCTGAACTCCTGAAACTTAATAGCATAGATTGTTCCAATAACTTCGTGGAACCAGTGCTTTTTTTCTGGCTGCAGCCATGTTTTTCCTAGCTCAGTTCAGGTGATTATTAGGGTGAGACTTCAGACTATCCTCTCTCTTCTGTTGCCTGTTCCGGAGTTCAGGAATGTGTTTGTGGTTCTAATGTGCAAATTTTCAGGGTGGCGGCGGTATTTGTTTTGGGAAAGAGGCTTCAATACAACTGGTTCAGCAAGTTTTATCTGTTTAGATTAAAAAAAAAAAAAAAATCATTCTTGTTCTCAGAAAATTACTGAGACAAAATACTGAGGATTCATAAAAACATACTTGTTATTTTTCAGATTAGAAATACATGTGAAAGTAAACAGTGCGATGGAAAAATATGCCTTTATTTTCCTTTTCGTGATGAGTATATAAAACCAGGATTTTTTAAAAAAATATTTTTTTAGAAGAAGAATCACAGTTTAAATATAAGCAAAGCTAGGAAAGAGTTCCTTGTAAAAGGACTGTATCTATAAAGGCATTTTATGTTAAAATGGGAAATTTTCACTTCATTTTGCTGGTCCTCCAGAAAAATTATCTGCAATAGGCAGAATTCCTGGATATGTTGAAAAGTAAAAGGTAGAAAACCATATTCGGATCTTCCCTCTGAAGGTGCACTGTGAGACATCTCTCTGTGCACACATCTGGGAGGGGAAGTACAAATGCATTTTGGTGCTTTTTCATTTCAGTTTTAGAGGAGAAAGAAATTGTCTGTGACCTGATTGTGCTGAAATGTGTCTTCCTGCTTGTCCTGAGGAAACAACTTGAAAATTCCAGTTAGTGAAAAATGCCTGATAAAAAGACAATAAACGTGTTTTAACATCTTGTACCTGTCAACTTCTAGATGCGATTGTATACCTTTTTTGTAGATGAATTTATTGAAATAATGCCACTTTTTCATGCTTAATGTAGTTTTACATGAAAGATTTCTTCTTTCCTTTTAAGCTCAAAATCTCTGAGGATACATGAAATCCGACAACTACCTTTGCGTCAAATGCACGCAACTGGGCAACTGCTTGCTCCCCCATCTGCCCGACCTCACTTTCAGGACAGAGGTCATGAGGGTCTGGGTCCAGTTGGGCGTACTTGGCATCAAAGAAGAAGGTTAAAAGAATTCCAAATCGCGTGATAAATGCTAAACATAATTTTCACTGACTGGAGCAGGGGGATCAAACCTGAACAAGTCTGGTTTTAGTAGTACACGTGCAGGCTGAGGCAAAGGTTTTATTCACAGGCATGCCAGACAGTTCCGAGGATGTCTTGTGGTAATGAGGACATGCATTGGTACAGTCAGTTTTCATACATTTTTGATTTTCTAATGTAAAATTAAAAAATGGCTATTTTAACAACATGCGTTGATAGGGGACTGCCAGGTGCAATGATTTAGTCTTGTCCTCCTCTTGTGTTTCTTCTTTTGTTTGCTAAAGGAATCTTGACAAAGGTGGGATGGTAATTGTTTAGAGATTAAAAGGCTAACATTTCTTAACAAGCGGCCTTGATCTAGAAACTCAGACTTGTTGAAAGAGGAGGCCCTGTTCATGGCTTTTTGCTTTAATTAATTACTTTGTGATGTCTTTGGTGCTTATTGGGGCCCTCTGTGAGCCAATTAACTCTTAAATCCGCTGGAAAAAACAGGGGGAGGAGAGGGTGATAGTATCACAATCACAGATTAGTGAGTTGAACTGGTCCTGGAGAAGCTTTCTGAGAAGTGCAACTCCCATGGGGGAGGTAGGAAGATCTCCTGGCTTCAGGCAGAGGGGTGAAACATTAGATTGGCTCAGGTATTCTGAAAACAAGTCTGACTTAGCTGGTTCACTCCAGGGAAACAGCGAAGTTATGGCTTCCAAATCACAAAAAGGCTCCCCATTTACCAGCCACCCACTCGTTAGTATCACTGGGTGTAAGTGTGCTGCTTGGAAGACATGTCAGCTGCCTAGGGTTCCTGAACAAGTATGTCCCAATTCCAGTCTTGCAGTGATGTGCCTCTGTTCATGCTTGGTGAATAGTCCTGTGAAAGGTACTAATTTCAGGTGTGAATATTTTGTATATGCACTGATCTCTGTAAAACCAGACCATTTTATTACTGAAACTAGCATAAAAGTTCTTATTTTTACTGCTGCCTGTGAATCGACAGAGGAAGAATACAAAGACAACTAACCTATCCTTATATTCCAGGTACCTAGCAGGAAAATTCTTCCATCTGTGGGCAAAAAAGACATTTGGACAAGTTCTCCCTTCCAAAGCCAGGTAGATAAAGTTCCAGAAGTGAAGGGTGGGTGTTTTTGTTAGGGTTTTTGGTTGTTTTTTTTCATAGGATTTGGTGCTCTACCAAAGTACTGGCTGCCAAGAAAATGTTTGGATGCCTTTGAGGTCGTTTGAAGGTTTCTTTGAATACCCTTCTTGCTCCTGCTTTTTTTTTGGTTTTAATAGTCATGGTTAAACTTTACTGACTGAATTCATAGGAACTGTGGTTGTCTGATGGAGTTGAACTGTGCAGGCTTATAAATGGGGGGGTATGACTGTGATACCTGCTTTAGATTTAACAATTTTTCAAAGTTTATGAGATATATCTTGAAATTCAGTTCATTTTAATATTTGCACTGTTGTTCTTAATGTATATCTATATATGCTCTGTATCTGTCTGACTGAAATACCTGTGGCAGATGATTCGTTTCCGCTGTTAGCGTTCTGTCAGCTACTGAAAACCAGCGCTTTGAGACTCTCTTCTTGGTTTGCTTTAATTTGCATGTTCATTCTTGTTTTACCACACCCTTGGGAACTGAAGCAGTTCCCAGTGGCAAGACCTGCATTTGCTACAGTCAGAGTAAGATCAGGCCCTTAGTTACCCAGTTTCACTGGACTGTGTCACATATATTCTGACTGTGCCTTAGCTGGTAAATGGACACCATCCTGTGAACCTTCCCGTTCTTGCTACCCCACAAACTGAATTTGCACCATTTTGGCTGTGTGTAAATTCAAGATCATGATTATTTTTATTTTTTAGGATGCTGAGTGGAAATACATTTCATAAAGTTCAGCAAGGAACATAAGCAGTAATTAATTGTGGTTTTAGATAAGAGTCCCCTGTTCTCCATAGCTTTTATTTGCAGTGTCCTGATAATGCGCCAAGTCAAAAAAAAAAAAGTAAAGCTCATTTCTTTTTTCTTCTGTTTTTTTTTCTTTTCTGCTTGAGTTCTTGGAATGACTTAGCAACTTGACTTGGGGTAGGTAGCTATGAATTGCAGTCTGTGAGAGGATGCATATGTGTTTCCCTCTGGGACCTCAAGATAATCTGGGCCTAATCCCATTGTTGTTACAGACGTGACCCGTTTCATTAGCTAGTGGGATAGTTGTGAGTCTGGGCTTGGGTGCTTTTTGTTTGTCAGCTTGTATGGTTTCGTGCATCCTTCTGTTTTCCTTCCCTCCATCACAAATACAAAGAGACGAGATGTTTTTTTGAAAGTGCTTGTACTCCAGTGGATGAGACTTGCCAGTTCTTAGGCTGCTGCCCAGGCCATGCTGACCACATGGAAAAATGTTTGAGAGAATGTTTTAAAACAAAAAATGAGCTGCTTGAAATAGTAAATCGTGACCGTTATTTTTAGTTAGGTGATCAAAATCCTAATTCCCTCATGCAGACCCGCCTATATTGGAATTTTTACTTCTCCATTCAGTTGAAACGTAGCATCACATCTTACCGGGTCAGGTGTGCGTTACGTATATCTGGGTATAAAAGCAGAGACTGTTCTACAAAGGTTAAAGAATTTGAAGGTCATATGAGACTCGTCAGTCCACTGGAAGGAGAAGGCACGTGAGCAGATGAACAGCTTTGTTTGTAGCATAGATGACATGCAACTTGCTGAAGGAGCTCTTAAGCCTATTTAGGTGTTCTTTGGGATGACCTTAAATTTGGGATGACTTAAGATCAGCTTGCTGTTTCGAAGAACACAAGGGAAATATCACATCATTATAAAATCTGAAGTAGCTTTTGTATTTATTTCTATACGTAAAATATTTGGTGTTAACAAAACTAGCAAGGAAAATACATGTGTCATTATCAACCCTGCTGGTTGTTTGGGTAAAACACAGAACTGAGGGTAAAAGGTATGAGTTGTTCATAGGTCTAAAGTCAATTGGCACTCTGATATTTGGCCAGTCAGCTAACACCACCTGTCTTTCCTTCCTTGACTTTGGATGAAGTATTTACAGTCAGTAAGCTGATTGCTTCTTGTCATACTTCACAGAGTCTTGGGATCAACTGTCACCGTAGGGTGGTGTTTTTTAGATTCAGTTAGATGCTCTTAGGCTAATCAGAAAAGACTGGAAAAGAGGTAGCATAATCTTCATTAAAACTGATTTGTGGGCAACCTGGAAACCTCTGTGAAACTTCCCATGTCCAAATCTTTCAACTCTTTAGATGCTTTTATGACCAGAAGATTCTTCAAAAAACTTTTGGGGAGTGGAGGGAGAGGGGGACTGTTTGCCGGGAAAGGAAGCTCAGCCTCAGAGCGGACAGCCATTACAGGTTTGTGAAATGACTTCCTATTCTTGTGTATATATAGCAGTATGCACAATTTTCCTTCGGCTCTGGAGGAGTTAACACCACCGTCAGACAGGTAACATTAACAGTACCTCTAGGCCAAGAGCAGTGTCTTCATTGCTTACGTTCATATTTTAATTCCCCTCTTTTGTTTTTTGTTGCTGTTGTATTAGAAGTAGTCAAAATTCCCTATCCAACGTATCTTTGGAGTGCAACTGAACTTGAAAGAATCCTACTCTAGGCATTGGTAGCTATTTCACTGAATGCTTTTTTCATTTTTCAGGCATTTACTCCAGAGTTCGATATTCAAGGCTTGGAGAGCCTATGTATGCCAGCAACAAGGAAAGAGGAACAAACACTGTGTTGCAGAGTCTCATGGCAAGTGTAGAAATAATGGTAACCACCTTTGTTTGGGGGCGTTCTGAGATGGGAATTTCCAAGGGCAGTGTTTGCATGGAATCTGTCCCTTGTACATGTTTGCACATTGACCTCTCCCACCCTGTGGGTGTGTAACGCTTTTAGGTACAGATGGTTGTCTGTCTAAAGCTGGGGGGGTGGGGGTGCCCTTTTGGTGCACTACTGTGTAGCTGTATGGTCATTTAGGGATGGCAGTGAGTAAGCATAGGGGCCTCCATCTGCTCTGGAGCATGTTTGGGTTTTGGGGGGTGGTTTTGTTGGGTTTTTTTGGTGTGTGGTGTTTTTTTTTTACTTTTGAAGTGCCCCATGTCTTGTGTAGTCTGTGTTCTGCAACGGGTTTGTCCTACTGATGAAGTTGCCTATATTGGTTGCAACTTCCTTTGTTTCCAGGGAATCTGTTTCCCTGAAGGGGAGGATGGACTACTTGTAAGGATGATCCTGTGGTTGGCTCTGTGCTGATTTGCAAAATAAGTTAGCTGGTCTCTCTGCATATGAATGCAGCCTCAGGATATTGGTTAGCCTGGCACCTCTGAGAGGAACTGATAGGCTCTCTGGATTTCCTTTCTTACTGAGTGAGGCCAGAGTGCTTGCAGGAGCAGCTGTGTGTTCCTTAGAAAGAGAGAAGTGACCTGGTTTAAGGTAGGTCAGTACTTGATTCACCAGATCACAAGGAAATCTTTAAAAAAAACCAGATAGTGTGGGTTTTTATTTTTAATACAAGTGTGAAGTGGCATAAAATCCACGGTGTTTTTTTAATAACTTTGCTCCTACAGTGCCGGCTCCGGCACGCCAGGCTGCTGCGGGGAGAAAGTGCAGTGCACTGCATAACGTGGTAAACTGGAATTTGCGACACCGCTTCTTTTTTTAGCTGCGTGACCAGCCTGCTAAATAAACTTGACTTGTTTCTGGTTGATTTCTCTGCTTGTAATAGAGAATAACTCTTGAAAAGCTACTGATGAACCTGATAAACTTCTTTTTTTTAAAAAGAACGATCCAAAGAGAATCCTGTAATTCTTACCCACTAAGGTTGTCACGCTGCACATTGTTATGCAGTTATATACCCTGTAAGCGCTGGAGACAAAGCGGTGCCACTGTCTGATAATTCACGCTGCTCTGCACAAGTGACGCGGTGCTGTCAGCGTTTCGGGGATTCTTGTTGGGGTGACACCCTCAGCCTGGGTGGATGGTGGCAGCTGCGGCGCTGGCGGCTGTTGTTTTGGGGTTTCCCACGAGGTGTCACTGCGGGATGAGGGCGCTGAGGTCAGGGACGCGTGGTGCTGCGGAGAGCTTAAGAAATGCCCAGTTCTTTTATGAACCTAAGATGCTGTCGTTTTTCTGTTGTGCACAGCAGAGGAGCAAAATCTACTCAGGTCCTGGCAGCGCTGGCTGGTTTGCATTGATGTTCAAAGGACGAAGCATGGGATGCAGGCTGTGGCACTGGCATTCAGGGAAAGAAGCCGTTTACGGTAAGAACGGGAACAGGCTGAGAGGCACTGACCACAAGGCCATCTTCTTTACCTGTGTTCTGTTATCTTTTTCTGTGGTCACTTTGTTCCATGTTTGAGGGTTTTTTTTTTTTGTGTGTTTCTGAATTCTTCCAGTACATTCACACACTGTGAATTTAGAATATTGTTGTTCACACCTTTTTCCAGTCAGAGGGAGTTCTTGCACCAAACTATGGGGCCTGCGTTTGAACATGTCTGTAATGTTGTTTTGGCAGCACATCGTGGGCAGTGTGGAGAAGACGACACTACCAGAAGTGTGCTGGACGTAAAAGGAATGTGTTGGCTCTGCAGCATTGGGCCCAGAGCCTGCAATTTCGAGTAAGTCTCAAGAACTCCAGCTACTACCATTTCTAATGTTTGTTGCATGCACTACACACTAATATGTTGCAGGTTAATAAAAAAGTAGGTCTTCTACTCATTTGCTTTGGAAATTGCAGTACTTGTGATGGAAGAACATATTGGGACACAAGGAAATGGGCTGAAGCTGCATCAGGGGGAGTTCAGGTTGGACATCAGGAACAGGTTCTTCACCGAGGGGGTGGTTGGTCAGTGAACAGGCTCCCCAGGGAAGTGGTCATGGCACCAAGCCTGTCAGAGCTCAGGGAGCATCTGGATGATGCTCTTAGTCATATGATTCAGTTTTAGGCAGTCCTGCGAGGAGCAGGGCGTTGGACTCAATGATCCTTATGGGTCCCTTCCAGTTTGAGATACTCTGTGATTCTGTGAAGGTCAAAGTAATTTTCTCACAAGAAAACCAGGCAAAGCAAACTGGATCCATGTCTTATATTTGCTAGGAAGCAGACTGGCTAAAGGAATTATTACTGTTTTATAGATTGTTTGATGATAGTGAAAGTATCGGAGTTCCTCTGCAGAGAACTAGGCACAGGTAGATAAGAGGTAAAAGAAAACGGGTGTCTGAGTTTGCAGCTGCAGTGTTTTGAGGAGGGCAGGATGGGTAGTTGCATCTAGCTCTCCAGAATCCCAAACTCCACAGAGGTCCAATCCACTGTCCCCTTGGAGGCAAGATAGCACCAGTCACCTCTTTGGCAGCACCTTACCTCTTTGTAAGACAACATTTCGTATGTCGGGTTGAATTTCTGTGAGCATGTTTAACTCCATTTTGGGGTAAGAAGACACAATCCAGCATTTCATATTCTTGAGACATTGTCGGCTCCTTCAGTAAATTGTTCATCATAGCTGAAGTGAAATCTTGTCATACCTCAAGATCTGATTCTCTCTTATATGAAAATACTCTGTCTGAAAGAAGTATGTTGTCCAAAGAGCATTATTTTGGCCTTTTAATGGAAAAAGTGTGACAGTATCAGAAAAAGGAAAAAAACGTTTAATATTGATGTTCTATGTCTTCGACCTTTCCTGTACTGACATTCCTTTGGGGTTGGTTGGGGTTTTCTTTTTCCCCTCATTGCTCATGGCTTTCACCTTTAGATATTACATGGAATTTCCTATTGCCTGGGTGTTCTTCCTCTTTTCTTGTTCTACTTCCCTAATCTTGTCCATTTGTCTCCCCTCACTGCCTTCCCTCCTCAATTGTTCTGTCAGGCTTGGTTGCAGTGGCGAGAGCTGTATTTACACAGCCAGAATGACAAGCAGAAGGAGGCTAGGGCAGTAACTCACCGTCAGCAGTGGGAATTGAAGAGGTGCATGGAAGCATGGCTGGGACACTTAAACCTCCACAGAGCAAAGAAACATCGGAATGGTGAGTTAGGGCAGAGGGGTCAGCTCCTTTGCTTAGGGCACAGTGACTTTTTTCCTGTTCTAGGAGACACTGTGATGTTTCTGCTGGCTCAACAGATGATGAGATGTAACTTAGTACACTACCACAGGCCTGGCTAGCTAAGCGTATATATGGAACTGTCAGGAAGGTCACCTGCTTCCCATGTGATTTAAAAGACAATGCTTTATAGTTGCCTTGATAAAAGCTTGCATGTTGCAAATTACATTTTGGCTGATACCTCTGAGAAGGACATATTCAGGATGATTATCAGTGAATTTATGTGTGGATTTTCTTAAGAATGAAAAAATTACAACTCAGACCAGGTTGGTAAAGAGGACTGGCACTGGAACAGGTTGCCCAGAGAAGCTGTGGATGCCCCATCACTGGATGTCTTCAAGGCCAGGCTGGATGAGGCTTGGAGCAACCTGGTCTAGTGGAAGGTGTCCCTGCCCATGGCAGGGGGGTTGGAACTAGATGATCTTTAAGGTCCCTTCCAACCCAAACCATTCTATGATTCTATGATTATGCCAGTTCTTTTGTTTCTTCTCTCACTGGAATGAGTTCAGACATTTGTGTGAACGCCTGTTGATCAGTGGCAGCGGAAAAGAATCCAGGTTGGATATCTGGGAACTGGTGATAGGAGCATGCTGAAATTTAAGCAGGCTTGTGTGTGTATGCCTTTGTGATCAACAGGAAAAATGTAGTCCACAGCGGAGCGTTACTGTGAATTCTTAACACCATTTTTCAGTGTTAGAGCTCCTGTCACTTCAGAACTGGTGGCTGATGTAAATGAGCCCAGGACGGAACACGTCATGAGTAATTTGTGTGTGTGTGCTTTCTAGAACTGGCCCAAGAGCATCACCGAAGCAGGATAGTCCGGCAGTGTTTCTCTGATTGGCGGCTGTCATGGGAGCGCAGGAGAAGAATGCACGCTCACCAGAAGGACTTTGAAAAACTAGCAGCAAGGATTGCCTTATGGAGAGCCTTTGCACACTGGAAGCATTGTATCCAATCTGTATTTAGCCCCCAGCAGGGACAGGTTAAAAGCATTCCCGCAGGCG